CCTGTGAAGATGGAGTTCCCTCCTCTTATCCCTCCCCACCTGTATCTTTCAGCCCTTCCCAGATACCCCCAGGCCATGTGCAATCAGGGCAGGATTACATACAACAGGTTGGGAGGAGTGGCTGGGTACTCGTCAGTAGAGCTTCCCCACGCCCTCTTTCCAAGACTCAACAAGCCCAGGTGTGATGCTCTCTGGCCAGCAGGCCCTGCAGCACGACATCTCCGCACTTTGCTCAGCCTCCTGCCTCAGTGCCCTTTAACATCCTGGTCTCTACCCGTGGATGCTCTCCCCCTGTCGTGGATGCTCTCTCCCTGTCGTAATACCGCCTTGGGGGAAGGTGCCTTGTCTTCTCCATTGTGTCCCCTCCATGACCAGCACAGAGCTCAATATTCAGTAGGTGTTGAGAAAATATGTGTTGATGGAAGGGGACCTCAGTGATATCCAAGTCACACAGGCAGAATGGGTGCGCTGAGGAAAGGCCGGTGGGCAGCCGGAGGTGAGAATGCCAGCGGTGCCGTCTGTCTCACAGCTGTACAGGGGACAACTGCGCATTCTCGCTCTGCCTACTGGTCAAATCCCATTACTTGACAGCGCTGTGGGGAACATGGCTGCCTCCTGGTCCCATCAGATAAAGGCATCATTCCCAGGCAAGCCACTGGGGATGGCGGAAATCCTATCACCTCGGAACCACAATACAGTTCCTTCCTGATGGGCTTTCCCAGGTTCGCTGCCTCACTCCACCTTCCAGGGCTATCCATTGTCTCTCATGTTCCCACGCCTAGAGCACCCTCCACTGCCTTTCCTTCAAGTGGGATTGTTTGCCTCGGGCAGGGGCAATGTCCAAATGCTTGGGAGGACCCACTCTTTCTTCAGAAGATGGAGCCAGCAGGGTGATCAAGGTCTGTAGGTGTATTTTCTCCTCCCTGCTTCTTGGGGTCATGAGAATGCAGGAGGGAAGGATCTGCAGGTAGCAGATGGGGCATGGGACTGTTTAGAAGAAGGGAGTTAAGAGCTTAAGAGCGTTCCTAAGCAAGTCCAGTGTGAAACTGTCTGAAGCTGTGAAGTTTTGTTTGCAAAGAATGTTTGGATAGTCAGAGCACAAAGTGCCAATGGGAGAAAGGCTGAGTTGTTTGTTAAAACTTTAGTAGACTAGCAGGGGGCATAGCTCAGTAAAAGGCATGCTCTGAAAGCATGAGGGTCTGACCTGACCCCCAACCCACTTAAAAAAACCATGCACAATGGCTCATCCCATCATCCCAGTGTTTTGGAGCAGAGACAGCAGGACCCGTGGAGTTCGCTGGCCAGCCAGGCTAGCTTAATTGGTGAGTTTCAGACCAAGAAGAGACCATGACTCAAAGGTGGTGGCCAGTATTCCTGAGGCTGACATGGAGGCCTGTCCTCTAGCCTCCATGCACACCCACATAGGTACCCACATACATACACATACCCACATACACACATACAAGCAACTTTCCTCAAGTTGATATTTTCTTCCTGTCAGCTTTTTCCTGTCTTGTGCCTGTAGTTCAACCTGTCTGGTCCTCACTGCTCCCCAACATAAGGAGGCAATACCGAGGCCCACAGATTTTCTTACCAAAAACTTCCCGTATCTCTGATGCCCACCTTCAGACCTTGTCAGTAACCTGGGCAGGGACTCCTGGCCAGGAATGTCATTCTCTGGGTGGAAAGAAAAACACCGGAACCCTGTCAGCTGTTGGTTCCAAGCATCAATTCTCACACCTCATAACGACGCCTGAGGTCCTGCCTTTCTACACATGATTGACAGCCAGCAAAACAGCTCTGACCAATGTCTTCAGAGATGAGCAAACTGAAGCTTCCAAAGAGAAGGTCACCTGTCTACGCCAACCCAAGTGGCAAAGCTGGGATGCAGCCCCTGACGATCTTGGCCAATGACAGAATGGAGGAGAGGGCTGAAACCATCCAGAATGCCCTTTTTAACCACAGTGCCACAGAGCTGGTTCCCACCGAACCTGTTCTGGTATAGCTCTGTCCCTTCCAGTCTCATAGATCACTCAGCTACATGTGAGATGAATGGGCAAGTGACCACACACACACACACACACACACACACACACATACACACACACATGTTCTACTTGGAACTGCCAGAGAGCTGCCTTGCTGTCATGGATGATAAACAAGCCATAAGCAGGAGCCTGCTTCCCCCTTCTGCTTCTGGCTGTGGTTGAAACAATCTCAGAGCCACTCAACAGGGACTTTCCCAGGCTTTCAGGCTGCAGAGGAATGCACTTGTTTTGTTTTGTATTTTCTCCAGGCCACCGGATCAGAGCCTGCCTGGGACTTTGTGGGTCAGGGACTGTACTGTCTTTCATTTGAGTTGATTAGAGGGGATATCATGTCAGAAGCCCCTAAGCTTGAGTCAGAAAGGAGTTATAGCTCAGTGTCAAGGGTTCAGACAACAGTGACACACACACCAGTAAAAGAGGAAGGGGACCTGTACTTCCTTCATGCCTGTACCCTAGAGGTGCAGGGGGTGGGTGGATGGGTGAGGGAAAGGGGGCAGGGTAGCTGAAAATCCGGTTGCAAAATCAGCAGTCTGTGTCCTGGCTTCAACACTCTCTCCCACCCCCAAGGAGGAGGCCTTGAGTGGCCAGCCACTGCCTAAGCCGGCCAAATTGGTTTAGTTCTCTCCCATGCCGCCTAGACCCCAGCACTGTGTGGCTGTGTCTTCTCTCTCTTCTGCTTCTCAGTGGCTGGGGTTGGTGGTGGTAATGAAGACAGTGGTCTCGTGATCAGGTTCCTGAAGGCTCCTGTCACAACACTGCCCTCAAGATCAATGTACTTGTTGAATACAGACCCTGTCCACGGACAGCAGGCTTTTTGAGGTCTACACAATATATTAAAAAAAAAAAATAGAAACACAGACCTGGGTAGGGGGATCTACACCTTTAATCCCAGCACTCAGAAGGCAGAGGCAGGTGATCTCTGTGAGTTAGAGGTCAGCCTGGTCCAGATCAGCCAATTTCAGATCAGCCAGGGTTACGTAATGAGATCCTGTCTGAAAAAGACAGACAGACAGACAGACAGACAGAAGACAGAGAGAAGGAAGGAGGGAGGGAAGGAGGGAGGGACAGAGAGAGAGAGAGAGAAAGAAAGAAAGAAAGAAAGAAAGAAAGAAAGAAAGAAAGAAAGA